CCGCCGGTTTCCTCGTCGGAGTGCCGACGAGGCAGGAACTGGGTCCGATCGAGGCGCAAGATCCGGCCGGAGCGCTGCGATCGGCCGACGATGCGATCCGCTCGGCCGGCTCCATCGAACGGAAGGTGAAGCAGACCGTGAAGAGCTATCTTCACTTCATGCGCACCCGCGTCGACTGGCTCGGGCACATGTTGCGTCTGATGCGACGTGAGCGCAACCTGCGCAAGCGCTATCTTTGCTCCAGCGAGGACTGTATGATGCGTTTCAAGTACTACATCGTCGGCGATCGTCCACCTCCCACCTCCGGCTCCGAGCTCGATTCCGTCGAAGAAGTCGCCGACCACGAGTCGTTGCCAGCCGCACAACCATCGCCATCTTCGCCGCTCTCTTCGCCATCGTCGCAATCGTCGGCGTCGGCGTCGGCGTCGGCGTCGGCGCCGATGCGACTGTTGAGACGTCGACGTCGACACAGCAGTCCCGAGGCGGAAGAGGCGACGCCTTTGGCGCCGTCAGAAGTGGCCGTAGCAACAGCGATCGCCATGGATACCGTCGACCAGACCTCGGTATTGGAGGAAGGGGAGGAGGAGGAAGAGGTGGCGGCGGGAGAAGTGATAGAGTTGGGGGTCGGTGCGGATGGAGAAGAGACGTTGCCGGAGTCGGAGCCGAGCGAGTCCGTGCCGGAAGGGCCGAACGAGTCGGACGAAGCGGAAGCCGACCTCAACTCGCCGGGGTTTAGGGCGGCCGCCGAGGACGAGGCCGAGGCCGAGGCCGTCGCGTCTGCCGTCGGGCTCGAACTCGAACTGGAGCCTGACGGACGGGCTGAGGCGGTCGACTTCTTCGCCGAGCGGAAGACCGAGTTGGCGGCCAGCGAACTGGCGGTGGAAAAGAACGATCTGACGGAGGACGATCTGACACGACCGATCGAGTTGGACATTGAATTCGAGGACGGGATCAACCTGGAAGACGGCATGGAGCTGGAGTCCGACGCATGGGGCCGGCTGGACTCGGACTGTGAGAACACGACGAGGAAGTACTGTCTCTATCGGGCAAAGTGTAGCTACATTCGAGTCCTGCAGTTGCCGGCTTGTCAGTAAGTCATGCACAAGAGTGCTTTTCTCTTGCTCCATCATTCACATAAACCTCCTGCGAGAGTGGGAAAAATCGTTTTCCCCATCAAAAGAAGATGCCTCGCTTCCCTCGCCTCATTGCCAGCGGGACACTAGATCGTATCTGTGACGTGTGTCGGCCACATTTTGTTTAAGGTGATGAGGAGAATGGTTACTCAATTTTCCCACAAGCTGATGAGTGTACCTTGCAATTGCATTTTAATTTCACATAGTCATGTCTTCACAAAAGCTATTTCCATCCCTCCCTCCCTGCTCGCCAGAACTGGTCTCTTCAGTAAGCCCAATGGGACTCGAACTAGGCTTGTGCTGTAGCAGTGCCAGACTGCCGCGAGTGCAGTTGTAGGAATGGGCAGTGTGAATTTCAATGAAGGCTGGGCATGTGAAACAAAGATGTGTTTTACAGTATCGAACGACTAGACCACTTACGTTTCATTTTTCTAGACAGTTGTCGAGACTACCAGTAAATCATATATGAGGCATTTTCACCCGATTTCGTTTGAGTCTATCAATCGCTATAGCAAAAATACCTGACCTTACTTGAACTGTATATCCGCCCTGCGACCCAAGGGCACTTGTGTGAACGTGTCGAGATTACACGCTGGGCTGTCACGGTTCGAGTCCGGCTGAGACTGCTGATGAGACCGGCTCAGGCGAGGTCGAAAGTACAGTTCACTTCGGCCGAAATGAGAATAACTTTTGGGAAGAAGATTGTGGGAAACTTCAACTACCAGTCGTCATCTCACAAACTTGTATTTACCATATTCATACAAAGTAGGTTTCGAAAATATTATTAAATCTTGAATAAGATTTAAGGTCACATAAATGTGAGGAATAAAAAGTATACGTTACTCATTTTGTCGACGAGCATCTTTCTAAGCCCATTTCACCTCATGACGGTTGAGAATTGAGCCAACGACCGTCACTATACACCCTGGACACATCGACAAGATGGAATCTGACGCCTGTGCTGAGCACTAGGTCAGGAAAGATGTGCAAAATGTGTGTCTGTATGGGGCATGGCTCATTCCGGGAATTGTGAAAACGCCCGTTGACGC